CCACACCAGGCCCCGGCCTGGCTGCCGGAGGTGACCAGGTGGTGAAAGCAGCCCGAAGCTCTCCCTCCGGCCCCTGCCTCACCCGGCCTCCAGGCCCACTCGCTTCTGCTCCCGCCAGCTTGTCTTGCCTGGAATCTCCTGAACCCTTTGCTTAGACAAGCTGGCCTTCCCCGTAGACCAGGCCCGAGCTCTGATCTGCAGAGTTCAGCCCAACAAGCAGGGCAGGGCCCTGGCTATCCTCGAGGGGCCAGCTCAGCAGTGGGGAGGGGGCTCCCAGAAAGGAGCTCCCCTGGTCTGGGGCCTGCACCCTGACCGACAGTCTGATGGGATTCAGGGAGGAGCTAAACTGGGAGGCTCTTGAGGCCCCCTCCTTTGGCCAAAGCAGAAATGGAGGGCCAGGTGGGGAGGGGGCCTGGTAGATCACCCCTCCCCTTTGCTTCTGGGGTTTCTGCTTTGACACAGCAGCATTTGGTCTGATAGAGGATAACACTTGTCATTCTCCACCAGGTGATTCAAACCCGGCCTTTAGAGTCCAAATCCACCCACCCCCTACTCAACGAAGCTGGGGAGGAATCTAATAAAGCAGTGAAGGGTGTCATGTGGCCCTAACACAGGAAATGGCGGGACCTCCATCCTGCTCCGTGTTGGGATTCTGGGGGAGCTGTGTGCTCCTGTCTCAGGAAGGGGTGGCTGTGGGGTGCATGGGGGCTTCTCTTACACAGGACTGCTGACCAAGGAGGTGCCCAATGGGACTGGGTGAGGCTGGGGGCCAGCCCCCCCCCCAGCTGGCAGCATCGGCTCCCCATTGTTTCTGGTCTCCACTTCCTCTCTATTGTTGGGTTTCTGTTTTTTTGTTTTGGTCTTCTACAGCAGTGGAACAAAGTCTTTCCCTCCACACCCATCCCCAGGGGGCTGCAGGCCCACACTGCAAAAAGTGTTCTTCCAAGTTGATGGGCAGCGGCCCAGTGACGATCAGACTCCCAGGATGCACAGCCACGGAGGTGCAGCCCATTGGCCAGCACATGCTCACTGTAGCAGACCCAGGTTCAGAGATGCATGCATGGGGAACCGGAAGACACTGCGTCTGACCGAGTCACACACACCGTGTTAGCCTGGCCCTCGAGGAGGCCCTTGTGGGCACACATCAGACAATGGACAGATGTCCCAGTGGACCTGGGCACACTCAAATCCGTGCCTAGCACCCTCACACACACACACACACACACACACACACACACACACACACACACACACACAGAGTCTAACACTTGATCCAAAAAGTCTTAGCCCTTGAGCTTCCCAGAATTCTCTGGGTCTGGGGGTGAGGTAGGAGTGGGGGTCAGCTGAGGGTCCTGGGCTCCAGCATTCAAAGCCCAGAGAACATGGACATGGACTTACTAGCTCACCCTATTCTTTAGATGATGTTTGACCAGACTCTCCCTGGGCTTCTGGTACCCTTCCTCTTTCCCAGCTCTGCGCCCCCCCCCCGGGAGATCCAAGCCCCATTTGCTTGGTGAACACTTCCCTGCGTATGGAGACATTGAGGAGACAGCCCCATTGGTTAGGCGGTGGAGAGGGAGGGAGTCCAGTAGCCTTTCCTCATAATCGGTCTGAAGCCCTGTTTCTTAGAAACAGGAAGTCAAGGCAGACCCTGGAAGCATTTCCCACATGGACAGGCTCCAAACCTGGGTCCCAAGAAGTTTCTCTGGACTCTGCTCCCCTAGCCCACCTAGCCAGCCTGATCGCAGACTGTCCAAGGCTGTGGTGGTCTGGTGGCTCCGGATGGTGGTTGGGTCACCGGGCCTGGCAACTCCCGCCTCACCATGGGCTCACTCCACCATCGGCTCTTCCCAACCCCCCCCCCCATTATTATTCACACTGACACATTTCCCCAAGGCGCAGCCTTTTCCTTAAAGATTAAAAAGCAAAGAAAACACCAGGGCACCTACCCACACCCATGGGCTCAAGCATCTTGGATACTTATCCACCCAGGGCTGGGGTGGGGGCTTCTGGAGACAAAGGGAGGCTTAGGCCACATGGGGGCAGGAATAGCCCCCAAACCCCAAATCCGCCAGTATGAAAACCATACACACATGCACAGTGTCAAACTTGTCTCAGGGCCTCTGAGAGGAAACCCCAGAATGGAGAAGGTGCAGAAAAACAAAATGAAGACTCCCAGCTCTGTATGTGCAAATACATGTGTGTGCATGTGTGTGGACATGTATGTTGGAGTGCATGTGTATACATGCATATGTAATACATGTGCTTATATTCCATGTGTGTGCATGTACGTGTGCATGAGCATGTGTGAGGGCTCGCTTACACAGTTCCACTGACCCTTATACTGCTTGGCCGTTTCCAGGAGCCCAACGACTCAGTTCAAATAAGAGAAAGGCCAAGGGCTGGCTACCTTCACCTCAGTGGGTCTCTCTAATTCCTGAACCACATCGCCAGTCCAGGGATTTCCAGGAAAATGAAGCCCTGTACTTTGTTTGAAACATGGAGTGTTTTGCAATGAGGCAGACAGCAGACACATCTGGAAGGTGAGTCTGCTCCTCCTATGCCCCCTCCCACCCTGCCCCGACAGCTGGCCACCTCTGCCCTGTGGCCACCAGCAGCTGCCACCATGCCCGCAGTCTTCCCAGCCCTCCAGGCTCAGAGCAGCCAAAGCGGGGCTTGTGTTTATCACAGAGGTTTACAGAGCTAATCACTTGACAACGAAGACAGAGGACAGCTCCTTCTGCCCAGCAAGCACACTGGCCATCTGACTTGATGGGCTCTGGGCTGACTCGTCTTGACCAGGCACGCTTTCATTTCTAGGTCAGGCCAGAGAGGCAGTGTTAAGTGCCTGTAACCTTTCCCGGCTCGCTAATGGAGCCCCTAATGAGAGGGCTCCCCCCAGTGCTTTGCTAAGCCTCCCAGCAGGTGGCCCATGGCAGCTGGGAGAGGGGGAGGGATGAAGACACAGACTGCTCTAGGGCGGGGGGCAAGCCCGTTGCCTCGGGGAGCCCAGGCTCAGTCAGAAAAGGACTGGGGGACTTTCCTGCGCAGAGTAGCAAAGGGGCTGGGGCTGGTTTGGCTCTGGTACCACAGTGACTGGGGCCTCAGTTTCTCTATCTGTCAAATGAGGGGCCTTGCATTCTCCAAGTCCCTTCCCGTTCGAAAGCCTCTGAGTCTCTGCTCAGACCCTAGGGAGCTGGGCACTGGGCTTTTAGCCAGCATTCAGAAAGGTTCCCAAGTTTCATGGAAATCCTAGGACGAGTACTAGTTCTTGAAGGAGCAGAGGGATTTTGTTGGGGGAAGGGGTGGAAAAGAAGACAGGTTGGGAGGGGGAGAAGAGAGGGAGAAAGAACAGAGGGGAGAATAGCGGGGAAGAAGGAACAGGGAGGGGGAGGGGGCTCATTTGGAGTGATTGGTGGCTGTTTTTTTGAACGACTCTCCCTATCTGGTCTTCGTCAGCTGGGTTAGACGCTTTCTTGCGTGAGCTGCTCGGTGCCTTGGGAGGGGGTGGGCGGGGGAGGGAGAACAGAGTGGGGGCCAAGGAGCCCGATTTCATTTTCCAAGAGCTCTTCCCATGGAGCTACAAACATCTGGGCTGCTTTGTACGCTGAGCCCAAGCTGATGGGGACGAATCATGTATGCAGCAGGCCTGTGGGTTAGGGTTAGTGGCAGCCTTCTCTCCTGGTCCAGGACCCCTAGCAGGGAGGTTCAAAGCCTCATGGGCTGTTAGACACCACTCAGTCCCTTCATTTTACAGGTGGAAACTGAGGCACCAAGCAGGCAGGAGACTGGCTCAGGGCTCGTGCCCCAGAGGCCTGGAGGGTCCTCAGCCCCAGCCCTAGGGCTCTTCCTGCTGCTTCTCTTTAGCTCAGGCTGCCACATCCTAGGCATCTTCGAAGAGTACATATACTCTCGGGACGACCCTATGGGATGGGCATCTGGGACACAGGAGATGGAAGCATGGGGGGATTGGTGGTGGGATGGAGCCCAGAAGCCACGGCTATGAGCTTTGCCAACCGAAAATGTCTGATGAGTGGTTATGGAATGAAAAGGGGGGTGCTGCCTGGTTTGGTGAAATGAGGCCTAGTTGGGGAGACCTTGGGCTCCCTAGAAACAGCAGGAGGATATGTGTTCCCTGGGGAGCCTGATTCCCAGACCCAGGCAAGGGTTTTTGCTTTGAAAGGAGACTGGAGTCAGGGAGCTGGCTTCCTGGGTTCCTCTGGCCTGGTTAAGGTGGCTGCAGACTCCTGCTGCCTGCAGGAGGGTAGGGGAGGCACTGCCCTACTGTCTCACCAGCCACACTGCCTGCCCAGCCATCTCCAAGAGACTTTCCCCTCCCCATCCCAGTTAGGCCCACATTTTATTAAAGAAAGCAGCTTAATGAATCAAGGCAGTGCCCAGACACATGGTAAACTTGTTCTCAATTCTGGCAGGGGGCTGACTCGGGTTTCACTCCCACTCTTTTAATGTTTTAGGACTGGCCACATAATCCCTATAAAATGAGAACCAGTTTCAGCCTTGCTGAGCCCAGGGCTCTCTGTCTGGGGGTTAGGAGAGTGTGTGGGGGGAGCAACACTCCATGTGATTTGGGAATTTAGAGAGGGCCAAGGAGGCCAGAGTGGTAGCAAGAATTCGGGAGTACAGGGGCAGACCAGCTTTCATGAATGGCACCCCTTTGGTTCTTATTTCCTGCCTCCCCCATCCTGGACTCAGGGGTCCTTATTTCTGAAAGAATGCTCCTTCCCTTCTTTCCTTCCTTCTCTCCTTCCTTCCCCTATCCCTACTCCCCTGCACATGGGGACCTTCCCAGTCCCCATCCTCCCTTTGCTCCCCCCCACCCCCCTGCACTAGGGGAACCCCCAGTCCCCATCCTCCCTTTGCTTCCCCTACCCCCACCCCCCTGCACGAGGGGATCCCCCAGTCCCCATCTTTCCCTCCCTCCTCCTCCCTGCCCCGCCCATTTGCCGACGCCTCATTCAGGTCAATGACTGTGACTCCAATCCTGAGAAACCCTGCTGCCTGTCAACAGTGTTTATTGAGTGTGTGCAGAGCCAGCCCTGGCGGGAGGGCCCTGGGGGAGGGGGAGCAGGGGGGAGAACTGCGAGAGGTGTAAGTGGAGGGCTAGCCCGGGCTCATGGGGGAGCAGGCCAGCCGAGACAGGACCGACACAGACACACACACGCACACTCACTCACGCACTCGTGGGGACCGTGCACACGTATCAGTGCAAACGAACTAGTTAGTGCAATTGGAGTCTGTAAGGGCTTCAGGGTCGCAGAATCGAGGGACGTCACATGTGGGGGGATGGGTGGGGGGCTGGAGGGAGAGGGGGACGGGAAAGCCAGGACCAGGGGGAAGGGTGGAGTGGGGGGGAGGGGATCTCTCATCATGGAAGGCTTCCAGGAAGTGATGGATTTTGAGGGGAGAAAACAGAGGCTGAGTTATTGGCAGAACATTGTGGAGAGTGGGGGGCTTAGGTCTTTCTTGTGTAGGGCTTCTGGGAGCATTTCAGTTGTAGGGCTTTTCTTGTCTGCTTGGAGGTTCTCTCTTTTCTGGGTGAGGGGATTCAGCAACCCCCAGTGGGTCAGCATTCTTCTCTCTGCCGTCAACACGTCGATCCAGGGTCTTGGGCCTGTCGCCTGTGAAAGCAGGGACATGATCAATGTAGCTAGCCCTCCATGGGGAATTCAGGCAGAAGGGCCAAAGGCCCCCGTGGGCAGCACAGAGAAGAGTCAGTTTGTGCTCACCTTTCTAGCCATGCTGTCTGAATCAAGTGGCACCTTGTTAGCAGATGGAAAAGGTCCTGTCCTGGGCATTGCCGAAGGGCAGGGACCTTGGCCAGGATGTAATCTGTAAGTACAGGAGAGGAGGCGTGAGTCCGGCCAGCTCTGACCTAGGCGTCTGGGGCAGCCCTTTCCCTGTGGCTCACTCCCCTTACATGGGAGCCTTAGCTCCAACTGGTAGTGACTTACCCTTTCTTCATGCCCACACGCTTATGCCTGGGGGGAGTTGGCTGGGTAAGAAAGGCTCCTTCCCTGACTGCTGCTAGATCAGTGAAGTGATCAGTTGATTGATCTGGCAAGAGGAAGGAAGGTGATGGGGATTAGAAAGGGTCTCGACTTGTAGCCAGGTGTGTGTGTGTGTGTGTGTGTGTGTGTGTGTGTGTGTGTGTGTGGTGGAGGGTTCATTGTACAGCAGGATACAGGATGTTGGACTCTTGCCCTGGCCTCAGTCCCACACCTCTGTGTCCTGGGGATCCTGCTGTTCCGGACTTTGAGCTAATACTGGGGAAGTCAGGAGGCATAGGGCAGGTGGGGGAAGACAGATAGAGAGGCAGGAAAATTGGTCCTGGCTTTACTTGCCGCAATAGCTCTCTACGTGACATTGGGCAGGTTCTCCCGGGGCCTCGGTTTCCCCATTTGTATTCTCTCAGGTCCTGGCGGGAGGGCCTGGGGAATCTGAGGGGCCGAGAGACTCACTCACCTTTACAGAGCCTGGACAGTCACTTCCATCTACTCATGTCTTTGCCACTGGTCTCCTTCTGACTGATTAGCATGGTGATTGCAGCCCTGGTATCAGTATTTTTCTGATGATACCCCACTTTTTCCTACAAGGACCAAAACACAAAGTACATGGAGGCTGTGTGTTCATAAACGAGACAAGCCCTCCACCCTCAGCCCCCTTGAGACCTAAGCCAGCAGGGCTCTGCAGTAAGAGGGACATGTCGGGGCAGAGTACCCAGCCCCAGGGGCAGTGGCTCAATATGGGCATCCTTCCAGCTGAGCTCAGGGCCTCTCTGGAGAGTGGCCAGGGGCCCCACCCTTCTCCTTGCCCTCATGCTCAGCCGCCATCTAAAACCCCCATCTCAGACCCCTACTCACCATTCTCGGTCCTTCATGGCGCCTCCGACCTTCATCTCCCTCTTTCATTCACATCGGGTGCCCACTGGATGTACTTTTCCCCTCTGCCATCTCGTACTGATGTGACTTCAGATTACTCGGGGAGCTTCACTTCAGGACTGGCTCCCCCTCGCCACCCTCAGGGGGATCTTCAATCACTGAAGCCCTCCCAGCTCGCGGGGCCCCTCCGCTCGCCCCCTTCCAGCCAGATTCACGTCCCAAACCAACCTCTGCTCCTCCATGGTGAGCCATTGCTCTGCTGCCCTCACTAGCACCCTTGACACCCCGGCATCCTTGGCCTTCCGCTGCGCGTTTGCTAGGTCAGCCCCAGGAGCAGGAGCGGATAAAGCAGACAGTGCTTGGAGCCTCCACTGTTTGCTTTCTCCGCTCCGGCTCCCGGGCTGCAAAGAGTTCCTGGAGAAGGTGGCAGGAGCGTGCACCTCCCCTGGCCTAGCTAGCCTCAGCCTGCCTGCCTGACTGCGTGCCTGCCTGCTCAGGGGCATCCCGCTCCTTCACACGGTCTCTGTGCAGATGCCTTCGCCTCGCAGCGAGGAGCCGGAGGTCATCGGCAGCTTTTCTGTCTGTTCTCCCTCGCTCAGCCCGAGGACCTGGCTCCCTGGTCCTCCGCCCGGCTCTCTCCAGGATCCTAGCCGCCTTGGCTCGACTAGTCTCCTTTGAGAGCTACCCTAGTTCTCGTCTCTCCTCCGTGGTCCAGCGAACGGACCTCTTGTTCTACACCGTCTGCCTCCCTCGCCTCTCTCTTTCCCCTCTCCAGCAGCTGGCTCAAATTGGCCGCTGCCGGTCTGGTGGTGTTCTTCACCTCCTCCTTCCTGACGTTTCCCCACTGCCCTCCATGAAGCTACATTTTCTGGGTCTCTTTCCATCTTTCTGGTTACTCCTCGGTCTCCGCTGATTACGTCTTCACCTCCTGCTCTTTAGCTTGGGGCTCACCCCGAGGCTCAGCTCTCAAGCCTGATCTTGTCCTCCTGCTTCTCTGTCCTGATCTAGTCCCTTTTCAAGGCCTCTAAGGAGAAGCAAGCCCTTTCCCCTCTCTGTCCCTCAGCGACTCTATCTCTAAAACTACGAGGCTGGAGGAGACCTCTCTGGTCTCTGCGAGCTCAGACAATCGGACTTCTCTGGGTCTCCGAGTACGCGGCTTGTAAGCGCGCGGCTCGAGCGCTAAGATGTTACCTACTTCCAACCCCACCTTGGCTTGTCTCCCGGCTGTCTCCCTTTCACCAACGACTCCACAGAGAATGCCAGAATATCCGAGCTTGAAGGGCCCTGAGAGATCACTTAGTCCAAGCCCCTAATTCTACAGACGAGGAAGCAGAGGCACAGAGCGTGGAAAGCACGTGTGGCTAAGTGGTGCCGCTGCCTGGAAGGGCTGAGCTCTCCGCCCTCCCCTGCACCGCGGCGTCCGCCTCGCCATTCTGCCTGCCGGAGCGCCCCCCATCCTGACCTCCCCTCAGTGGCACCGCCATCTCAGTCCCTGCCTCCTGTCCCTGCCCTGCCATCGCCCAGGCCATCTCGCACTAATCCTTGTACGAGGTGGCCTGGCCAGGAGACAGCCCCACCACCAACACCAACAGATTCAAACGGCAAATGCTCCTCTCCTGATCGAGCCCATCTCCTGCGGCTGCCACTGGGGCACCACCCAAGTTGGTCCCCCTCTACATGCTCCGAGCTTTCCGCTCTGGAGCGAGACCGGACTGGCCCTGTCCAAGTCCCACCCCCCACCCGCCTTTCTGCCCCGGCCCGGGGCCCTTTTCAAGAGGGGATAGCCCCGCCTGGAATGCCCTCCCCACCTCGCTCAGCCAATCCCCGGCTTGCCCATCCTTCAGGGTGCACATGGAGCCCCACCCTCCTCTGGGGGCCATTCCAGCCAGCAGCCACCCCTCCTCTCCCTGCCCCCAAATCCCCAAACTCTTTCTGTCAGCTCTCCAACCCTTGGCTCTTATCCACTTCCTCCCGGGGGCACACATAGGTCTCTTGCCCATGTTGGTTCATCATCTCACTCACCCCAACTAGAGTGGAAGCCCCTGGAGGGTAGGGACCATTTCCACTCCTTGGGGCTCCCCCCATATCAGTCGAGCACAGGGCTAGGTGCAGAAATATACTGTTTATCAAACTCAAGATGGATTCACTAAGCATGGGGCCCTGGGTCTGTCCTAAAAGTGAGGTCTCACAGGCCCTAAAACCTTTGCTTGGAAAGGAATTGGAGGAGGACAAGTGGGGTTTACCCTGGAGTCTCTGTGCTGCCACTTGGGTGAGGGTAGATAAGCAGAAACAGGGGAAGGAGAGGCCAGGGTCGCAGGAAGTCAGGCCACATAGAGCGGGGCCCTAGAAATGGGGCTCCAGTGTCCTGCCCCAGATTTTAGGGTCCCCCTCATCCACCGTAGGCTGGGATCCCCATTTCCTAGCTTCCCCACCTGGGAACAATGTGGCCTCTCTGCAAGCTCAGGCTTGGCTGCCTGGAGGCTGAGGCGGCTCTTGGGCGCGCCCTGGTGGCTCCATACAGGCTGAGAACCGCGAACCACACCGCTGGAACCGCGGCAGCGCTTGACCCTCTGGTCCGCTGAGGCGGGCGCTGGGCCCTCTGCTGTAAGGCCTGCCAAAAGAGTCAGTGCTGTAGCATCAGAGGACTGAGCAACCAGGACATTAGAGACCAAGCCTCTCCAATCCTGTGCAAGGATTCGGCACGGGCTGAAAAGAAGCTTCCTGGCTTCCTCCCCGCGGTCCTAAGGCACTCAACGGCAAATGGGCTTTCAGGGCCCAGCCAGTGGCCCAAGGCTTCAACTAAGGCCTCCCTGGATTTGGGGGGGCTGTCAGGGCTGTGAATGTGACTTCAGCATGAGGATCCCCTTTCTGGGTACCTCAATCCTTCCAGGCGGACAGCTAGACCCATAGGCCTTTGCTGCCCCCATCTGGCCCATCCTGAGCATAACCAGCCTGCGTGGACCGCGGCTTCTCACTAGAACCGTGCCTGGGGCATACTGCCACGTAGACAGGGCTGGGAGAGGGTGGCTTGTTGGTGCTGGGGGCACTGCCTGTATCCCCGAGGCCTTCATGAGCACTTGGTTCAGGGCTCTAGACCTGTGCTGCCCAAGCGTGCTGGACCCACTGAGAGAAGAGAGCCCCTGAGAGAGGGGGTGGGGTGAATAAGCGTCTATCCTGAGACAGCAGAACCTGGGTTAGACAACCACAGTGAGCAAGTCTCCCACCACTGGGGTCCGCCGCCGCCACCTGGGTCCGCCGCCGCCGCTGCCGCTGTCTGCGCCATGGCTGAGGCTATTGAGATCCGTCCTTCCCAAGGTTGTGGAGAACCTTAGGGACCACTGAGGCTGGGATAGTGTTTGCAGGAGAGCTTAGTACAGCTCTCTGATCACCCCCCGCCCCCGGCTCCAGACAGCCAGTCATTCCTTTCTCTCTCCACCCCTCTCATTCTCCAAACCCTGACTAGCTCCTGCTCCCTATTCACATTCTTTATCTTCACACTTCCTCTGAAATGGCTTCCCAAACAGAGACAAAGTAACTCCCCAGGGCAGGGACAGAGCGGTCCTCTCCTTGGGTGTTTCCCTTCTCCCCTCAGCAAAGCCCACCGAGAGGCTCCCTGAAGATATTGAGCCAAATGAAATCAGGGCCCAGGGCCTGGCCTGAAGGTGGGACCTGTGGCATCTTTGCTCAGTATAGCTTAGAAGGCAACAAGTGGGGTTCACCCTAGAGCCCCCCTTTGGCCACATAGGTTGGGGTGGATAAGGAGAAACGAGGGAAGGAGAGGCCAAGGTCCTAGGAAGTGAGGCCACCACAGGGCAGGAACAAAGAAACAGGGTTCCAGTGTCTTGCCCTAAACTGAGGGGGTTCGCTTGTCTACCCCAGGCTGTGATCCCCATTTCCTGACCCCACTGGCTTCCCCTCCAGGGAACAGCGCATCTCCTCAGCTTCCCCACCCTCACCTTAGCTGCTCTTGGGTGTACCCTGGGGGATCCAAGAAGGCCATGACACCGCGAACCCCAGCAGAGCGGTAGAACGCTAGACTCCCCTAAGGAAGGGCCAAGGGGGTATTTGCATAAAATGGTACTCTAAAGGGGCCCTGAGGCATGTGTCTTATTGGCGGAGCAGAGGCTAGCTCCCACTGGGCCGGGATGGGCTGTGGGCTTCGGTACTTTGGTGGCTCTTGGGCGTTGGTCTAAGCTGTACACCCCGTACTGGTGGGAATGCCAGAGTGCCCAACTGCTATGAACCTGCATATATGAAGACCCAGAGGCCTCTGAGAGTCCCCGCTCCTGTTCTCCGCTTTGGCCAAGCAGGAGAGCCAGACCTGTCAAACTTTGCTGCCACCGTCTGGCCCATCTGCAGCATAACCAGCCTGCCGCGGCGACGGCAGCGGCGGAGGCGGCAGCGGCTTTTCCTTTGGATCGTGGGGTGCGCTAGGCAAGGTAGGGCCAGGAGATAGGGCACTGGGGCCGGAGGTCCTGACTGAGCCCTGGGGCCTGGTGCTCGATCAATGAGATCCTCAACCCTAGGGCCACAGCCAGACCTAGCTGGGCACTTGGGGAATAGAAGCAGGCGGTGGGTGGTGACCTTCCCAAATGAGAGGTAGATCCCCAACAGGGTATAGAGAGGCTTTGCCCTTGGCTCCCCAACCATAACGCAGAGCTAGGGATGCCCCTCCATTCACCAGCGTCCCCTGTTTTCACCATACTGGCTTCCCTGCTGGGGCTCCAGCGTCCCAGCAGGTCAAAGAGAAGTGCCGTACTCCTGGGTACTCCAGCCTGGCCACTGTTTGGGGCCACCAAGGCGGTTCACCGGCTCAGGGCTGAGCAGAAAGTCTAGGCTCGGCACTGGCCGTGGCATTTTAAGCCTTTCCCTGGGGCACCTGCAGACTTTAGATTCTGGCCGCAACACAATTGGGGCCCCTCTTCTCCTGTCGGGCGCCAAGTCACAAGAGGACCCAAGGCCACAAGTGGGGCCTACTGGGACGTAACACCCCATGCTTATTTCTGGCGGAGCGGCCAACCTGTGCTGTCCCCGTCTGGCCCATTCTGAGCATGACCAGACCGCGTACCGCGGCTTCTCGGAAGGATGGGCCTATATCAGGAGAACAAGGGTGGGGTGGAAGCCTGGTGCTGGGGGTGCCTTCCTAGGCTGAGATCGGCCCCTTTGAGGGCCAAGGTCTCTCTGCACCCTCACAACAAGGAGCCGGAGGTCATCCGCAGCTTTTCTGCCATCAGCTTAAGGTCACAGTTGCCCAAGCCTGGGGCTATCCCCACCCCCACCCCTATCCAGGTTTAGCTGAGAAGCCCTGGAGGGCCAGCTCCTTTTCACATTCATAGGCTTACTACCTATTCTGTAGATTGAATGATTGAATACCCCCACCCCACCCCTCTGCCCAGCACTGAGCTGTGCTGACTAGGTCATCGGTCCTATCCTGGGAGGGAGCACCTGGATGAATCCCTCTCCTTAACCCCCCATTCCAAAACCCAAGTCACCCCTTTTCTTTTCCAGCCCCTCCCCCCCAGGTGACCTGCCTACTTTTGTCCTTTCTTTCACCATTCTGTTTCCCCAAATTAGGCCCCTTCCTTCCCCATGGTCTCCAGGAAGGATTGGATTGACCAGACAGGCAGCAGTCACTGGCACTAACCCATTTTCTGTCTGCTACTGCGCCCGAGCTGGCTGGGCCTTTCTCTCTGACTATCTGTCTGCCTGTTTGTCAGTCTCTAGCTGTCTTCCTCTCCCTCTGTCCCCTTATCTCTGTTTCTCTCTGACTTTCTGTCTCTGCCTCTCTCTCCTTCTTCTCTTTCTCTGTCTCTCTGTCTCTGTCTTTCTCTCCGCAATGAGGCAGTACATTTCTCCATGGCAGGGGCCGCCCCCTTTTGGTGACCCCAGTGGCATCATAGGAGAGGTACAGAATTGTCAGATTTTCTTTCGAGCTAGGCACGAACTCTGGGTGGGTCACTTTTTCCCCTCTGGCCTCCATTAGAGCTAGGACTCAGCCCTTAATCTTCTGCCTCCCAGCCTCAAGCTCAGGAGGTCCTGCCTTGGACATCCTCCTAGGGCTGGTTTCACCTTCTCTCCCTCCCGGCCCTGGACATACTCAGGTGTCCTTCTCGAAGAAGGATCCCTCTAGCTCTGAGCAGAGGAGGGGGGGTGCCGAGGGGTCTCAAAGCATCCTCCTTCTGCCCAAAGTCTCAAACTTGAAAGCCAGAACAAACCCTAAGGATGCTAGAAGGAAGCTGGGTTCCTGTCTCTTGTGTTCTGTGGCTCCTCTCTCTCTGGCTGGAGTGGTTTTTGTTTGCTGTTTATAAGCTGGATGTGGGGGCTTTTCCAATGGTCAGCATGGTCCAAGAAATCCAGGTGAGGACCTAGAGAGAAACGGAGTGAGCCCCTGGGCTCCTAAATCCTGGGGCAAGGGGGTGCAAGCGGTTGGGGTGGTGGCTGCAACTGAGATCATGTTTTCCCATCAGATTTTGCTTTGGGCCCCTGACCTGCTGGCCCCAGCCCTCGAGCTGCCCCAAATAGGCACCAATGCTATGCCTTCCTCCCTCCCCCTTCCCAGTCTCCTTCAGTGGCTCATCTAGGAAAAATCAGGCAGGCTGATGGCTTCCCTTTGCCAAGAGGGTAAGAGGAAGAGCAATCTGGTGTGGGGGGCCTTTCCATTTGAAAATGAGAAAGTAGGATGGCTGACGTTTAATTTCCATTGGGGAAATGAAATGAGAAGTGTATGCTTTGGTTTCCA